AATTTTAAGTATTTAGATTGTTGTAGTCTTGTATCAATGAAGGTAGCTTGGTAGTGGTATCCATCATTTCTTTCTTCGAAAAAAAACACAACCTCACTAGCTAGGTGTAGAGTTTTAGGGAGTAGAGGTAAATCTGTTGACGAGGTTATGAACCTCCATCGACTGAGATGGTTGGGACACGTGTTACTCTTGCGTAGTTGCCGTCTACCTCGTCACACAATGTTGGCCGAAGTAGGTGCAGGCTGGGAAAAGGCTCGAGGTGGCCAGACCTAAAACATGGAATTAATGTATAAAGTCTAACTATTGGTTTCAGTCATATGGGGCGATGCAGACTAGCCGGTTGGGGTCCGCGGGACAAGAGGAACCAGTGGTTGGAGACTGTAGGCGATACAGCCCAGAATCGAAGTCAGTGGCGCAGATGTATGCATACACTATCCTCATCTTAATGACGCTATACCGAATCTCACCACTTTTTTGTTCTTCCTTTCTCTCTTTTCGTGTTTTACATTTCTTTGGACTGAGTTTTCTTTTCTTCATCTTTCACTTCACTGCCTTTTTACTTGATGCACTGATATGAAATGTAGCAACTCGGACCGTTACGTAGTAATGCCTGGTCCTATGTTGATGATGATAGTTGTTATCATGCTAAGATATATGCGTTTTTAAAATGTCATCGATTTGTAACATGATAGTATGGTATGATGACAAGTATTCACAACTCACCTTGTGGATATACCGTTCTGTAAACTTTGGTTTTCATTAATACCCCATTATATGTCAGTCTAAATCTTTATCTTTAGTGCAGCTTCATAAGAAATGATTATGAAAATTCTGTACAAGAAAAGATAGACATTACCAAGATAGAATGTGGGATTACGGTGTAATGGTCCAGATTGATACAATTCATATCAGCAAGTCAAGGTAGAACGTAACATGAAAGGCAGTGCGATGAAAATTGTGTAATTATAAACTGTAAAAGGCCACTCAATGCTCAACTTATTCAACTCTATCAGGTCAAATTTTGGTCCTGAAGTTCACAACACTAATTTAAAGTATTTAGATTGTTGCAATCTCGTATCGATGAAGGTAGCTTGGTAGTGGTATCCGTCATTTCTTTCTTCGAAAAAAACACAACCTCACTAGCTAGATTTTCAAGCACATTAGAGAGAAAAACTAGGATATTGTACATTGGAAGAAGGAATCAATAGTATTACTTCTAACTTCGACAAGATCTGGGATATCCAACTCACTAGCTTACCCTTGGCATTGTATTCCAGTTAGACATGCATTTTATTCAGTCGTATTCATTCTGAAAAAAGACTCCAGGTTACTACTTTGAAAAATCATCAACCATGGAAACAAGGGGAATAGACAAGGAGTAAACTAGAGATTGTTTATGCAAGCAAATCATAAATTCGCTGTACTTTTGTACTTTATCGGGGTTAAGCTTTTGACTACCCATTGTCTTTTCATGATATTTATGTTGAAATGAGTTGTAGCAGTATAAATTTGACTTTTCTAAATCACATGTTAGTATGCAGTCTCTAAACGCATACGGCTTTAGAAAAGCTACAAGAGTCAAACAAATGCTATACTTAAAGCGATAAGCAGAGTTTGTTTATGTTTGAGGATGATTTTATGTTATTCTCTTGCGATCACAAGTGATCCAACATGCGGAACTAGTGGTTAACTTTTATTCATTTGACTGTAATCACTAGTCACGTCATCATCATCATCAACATAGGACCAGGCATTACTGCGTAACAGTCTCAGACTGTCCAGTCATTAGTCACGACTGGACAACAGTTGTCTTCAACCTAGGTTACAACTCTGATTGACATTTTTACATACCATAAATTGTTTAAGAGCTGTAGATTAACCGCTTGAATAATTAATTTCTATGATAACTGAATGGATCATTTCACTATGCTGTTTCGTCAACTTGAAATGTCATTGAATAGTATCAAACAGATTATTCAAAGTTAAATCCCAACAGCTAAACTACATTGAAACACTTAGTCTTCTTTGCTCATATATTTGTTTGATTTTGATTAGAAGCAACACTCAGAACTCGTTTCACCCTTTTATCTTAAGTGGCAGGTGATAAGTTTGAAACCCAGCAGAAATACAAGCATGCTAGGATGGAGGTAAGTCCACACAAACAGTTTTAAATAGGTAGGAAGACACATTCTCAGTTTTAATGCTAGCTACCACAATAAAACTAGCAATAAAATTCAAGGTGAATACAAACACCCTATATACTAACATAGGATTATCGATTTGGTTCAGGAAATTGAACAATAGTAGACTAACAAGCATAAGTAATACTGGTGTCATGTTAATGGAGGGGATTTTTTATGAACTTGATAAATTTTAAATAGTCAAGTTCCAGTAATCGGACTCACAACTATGAAAAGGCAAAGATAATTAAAACTAATGTGTTACTGTCGCAAGGATATTACAAGGCTGATTGAGTGGAATTCAACAGACATTCAAAACAAGCCTCAACAACAGTGACCATGAACGACTGGTCTGGATACTACAATCTTCTATAGTTTTTTATGCCAAATTAACAACCCACTGAATATTACCAAGTTCATTCTCGGTCCAATAAAATTACATAAAACCAAACAATTAGGATTTTTAAATAGGTTAGAATGTTTTAGTAATCATTGGTTACAGGGGTACTGTAACTCGTTTAATTTGATGTTACTTATGACAAAAGAAGTACATCACCTTGTAAGAATGATAACAGGAATGTTAGTTGTTCAAGGGCTATGAGACATCAAGTGGTCAAAGGGTTTAGGTAGTAGGCGTCTTCGGAGTATTGCTAGTATTATTTCGCGGAATCACCGTCATCAGTGTTGAGGTAAGGTGAACGGTATTAGGGCAAAACAGGCAAGTCGATTGATGAGGTTGTGAACCTTCATCGATCGAGATGCCTTGAACATGTAATGTGGATACCTAGCCACCGCCTATATCTATGTGCCATGTTAGGGGATGTTGGATTAGGTTGGAAGAGGGTTCAGGGTGACCAGACCAACAAGTGGCAACAGTCCATGGGGTCCCTAACTGTTGGCCTGAGTCATGTGGGGTCTTCGAGACGATGAAAATCAGTGGTTGAGGATTCTTGGCGAAATGGCTTAAAATTGGTCATAGTAGCACAGATGCATTCATTCGCTGACGTCTTCTGAAGTATGAATATTTAAGGTAACCTGTATCTTCAAATCGATAATTCTCTCACACAACTCTGTCCACTTTGATATAAAACTTTCCATCCACTTGTTCTTTGTATACTACTGTGAAGTGTGGCAACTTGAACCAATCCACTTGTGTGTGTGTGTGTGAGGTTCCAAGCTGGTTTTATCGGTCTATCAGTAATAAAAACTACAGTAGTTGGTGCGAATCGTAAATACTTGAATTAAGTAACATAGATCAGCAGACAAACAAAATTAAACATCATCCTTCACATCAATACATGTAGATAACTTGTCAGAAATTTAAGTAGAGAAAGCTTAAATTTCTTGTCAGAAATCAGACTATATGCTAATAAATTGTTTAAGGCTTGACAGTGAAGTCAAGAGGTAATTAAATGATGCAATTACTTAGATCTTTTATAGCGGTTATCTACATGAATGGATTATAACATCGAAAAAATGAAGAAAAACAAGTTTAAACAATAATCTAAAAGTTGCTGATGACAACCAAACACTTCCTACACAGCGGTAAAAAAAATGATTATTTTGTTTACACTAAAACCCCAGAAACCTCTTAATTATCAGTATTCAACCATGTAATTATGTTCAGTGTGTTTTTCAAAATTAGCTGCGAAACTAATCATAATGAGAAGGTAACAGAATTGCATCTATCTACATTATATAATCCCCCAGGATTATGACACTCCAGCATAGCTTGAAACTTTCAGGATTTTAAGAAGATAATTAACGATTTAACTGAAAGATAGAGTCATGTTGAGAGATTGTCAGGGAAACTTCCTCTGTAATTTGTAGATGAACACAGGTTCTAGTTCCAATCTAACTATCAATTCAACTGCTTGCTACAAATGTTCAATCCTAACATAAGTCGGTCGAATTTTGATTATTTAGATCTTTCCATTCAGTTCTCCAATAGTTAATTACATAAACTATGCTTATTTATACCTAAATTCCTATTCATCCATTCCATGTTGCTAGGCAGAAGTTTCTAATCCACGGTATCCACTTCTAATTCGGGCAGTGGGTCTATTTGTTTATGTTTGAACCTTTGAATGTTTTTTGACACAACATGTCTATTTTATTTAACCTAGTCAACTCAATATTTGTTTTAGAGTTTATCATAAGCAAATAACTCTAACATCGTCACCACGGAGTCCTTGAAGAAAATGTTACTGAGTGTTGTTCACACATATAAACAAGACTTTATTCGCATACTTTCTTTACATTTGTTTATTGTGCTCTTAGTGTCTACTACGAATTTATGCACCAGGAACGTAAACAACAAGCTAATTTGCTATTCACAACCTTAATTTCTCGTATTTGGCATCAAACGTTTACCATTGTAGAAAATTTATTGGGTTCGGTCAGGTGGACACAGCAACTTGGTTGATATTTCCAACTCTGTCTGTAGCAAAGTTGATTTCAGTTCTAATTCTAACAGAGCTTGAATTTAATAATTCAAAAATAATTTGAGGAACATATCAAATTCTTCTTCTAATTAATCATAACTGGCAACATCGTGAATCGAGTATGGAACATCACAGTTGTGATTGAGGGGCATGAAAGGTTCACTTAAATTTTCGTGCAGTGGTTGCGTTCATTCTCCTATTTGATCACTACAGCATCACTACATATCTAAAAGTCAGTAAACCTTCAAGAGTTAACGAATGAAGTATGAATAGATTGCAAATAATTTCTTTTGTCTGATTATAGTCAACCAAGAGCATACATTTACATTATCTGACGAAAATAGTACAGTTCAGTAAATCAAAGAAAATCTAAACCTTATGAATAGATAGCCACTTCATATAACTCACTTCTATCATGATAGCTGGAAGATAATGACCGACTTGTTGAACTTTTCAAATGATCATGTGATGTGACGAATATATTAGTTGGTCTTCGACGGATAGGCAACGGTGGAGATAAAAGCAAAGCCTTTGGGATATTTGGTGGAGTAGCTTCTGGTTTGCGCGATATATGATGACTATATACCTTCGAATGTGTCATGTCATTTGAAAGACTTGTATTAGATGAAGATTTGTAACACATGTGGTTACAATTAATAACATGTCGACTATTTTTCCTTTCATATTTCTGCTGTGATGACAACAATCCTTGAATCACTTTAATCTGACCATTTGGTTGAATCGATGATGACGATGGTTGTGACGTCTGTATTGAAGGTGAAAAGGCTGAGGTCATGAATAGAATAAGAACTTAAAATTGATTAGTTTCCTTCGATGATTTCATTTCTTAAAAGAAGTGAGCAGAAAACAATCACATGCTGGCTAGTGTTGTGACTTTGTTTGAACTGTTCTGAGCATATATTTTTACATTGATCAGTTAACAAGGAGAACATTACTTGAAATGTCAACATAAAAATAAAAGTCATAGCAAACACAGTTAGTTTTTTGAAAGGATCGTTAACTAGTAATAACAGTGTAACCAGAAGAAAAATCATACGCTACTAATTGACTGACTAACTGAAAAAACCTCTCACACGAATGCATCGGCTGGTCGCCACACCTTACGGTAAAACACAAAGAACAAGAAAACGACTAGTATCAAAATGAAGTTGTGTGACAGTAAGCGACTTGAAGATAACGAATAATGCAAATGTTCAAGCTTTAAATGTCAAGGAGTAAATAAATCTGCACTATTGCAACAGGTTTTCCGCCGTATCACCAAGAGTTCTCAACCACTGATTCCTATCATTTCAGGGTCCCTATTTAGGCGGTCTAATCGCCACGTACGTCTCAGAGTAACAGTGAGAGACTTCGTCAACGTGTACCTAGTCTTGGTCTAGGTGGCCACGCTGAACCCTTTTCCAACCTAATCCAACTCGCCCTAGCATGGCACGTCGAAGTAGACGGTGGTTTGGCATCCACAGAATATGTCCAAGCCATGTCAGTCAATCAAAGTTCACGACCTCACCAATCCACTTACCTATCTTGCTTAGTAACCTTCGCCTGATCTCAACATTGCTCACAGGGTGATCCCACCAAAAGCTAGCGATGTTGCGAAGACACCTACGACCAAAACCCTGCAATCATTTTATGTTGTCTACCTTCAGCGGCCATGTCTCACAGTCGTATAACAGAATACAAAAAAATGCAGCACAGTATACTCGTCCTTTGACAGTCGGATATCCCCCCAGTGGACACTAGAGATGGAGTGAGTTGGAAAATTCCAGGCGGACCTTCTGAAATCGAGGTGAGATTTCGTCAGTAAATGAAGTAGTCGATACCTTCCACCACGTCACTGTCTACCAGTAAACTGGGAGTGATTGCAGACCAGTTCTGGGGCATTACCCTATATTTCACAGGTGCGAAACGCATGTTAAACATATTCAGATTTCTGCTCAAAATGTTCAAAGGATCCTGCATCTTCATTCGGCAGGGAAATATCGTCTGCGTACTCTAGGGAGTAGGTCAGCCCCAGTGAAGCCAGACGGACCTGAGGTTATATCCGTTAGTACGTCCATGGCGAAGTTAATTAGGAACGGTGACAGTAGGCATCCTTGGCAGAAATCGTTAGTTGTCGTCAATTCTGATGACAGCTCTCCATAACTTTTGAAACGGCTGCGTGAGTTCGAGCAGAGAGCTTTGACTAGCATTGTATACTTTCTCGGTACTCCCTTTGCAGTCAAACACTGTCACAACACTACGGTTGATGGAGTCAAATGCCGCCTTCGTGTCAAGAAATATGGTAAGTGTCGGCCACTGGCCGGTAGGTATGCCTGCGTTCCAGAACCTGTCAGAGGGGGACACTGGATAAAAGCGATACGCTGTTATCATGATCCACAGTCTTGAAACAGCAACAAGCTACAAAGTATAATTTTCTAAAGCTTTCACAGACTTCTAATCCTTTCGTAGGAGATCTAAGATTATTAGTGAGGACGTTTTGGGTACTGTATTTGGAATACGTAACAGCTCATTTTAAAACTGAGATCCAAGCAGCAAGTTAAAGGCTAAAATATCAAGCACATGTAGAAATCTGTTCAAAGGGTAAGAAATACTAGGGTCATCCGCTTCACTAGATACCTTTAAGAGCAGTGACTAGATCATATCAATCTACCTAAATTGTCTTAATGCACGTTGAGAATAGACTCAGTGTTGCTTCCAAGTGTATGAACTGAATGCTAATTTATCTTATTTGTGTTTCCCTTTTGGAAGTGAACACATGAGACAACAGAAGAAAAGGTTCGAAAACCGGCTAGAATCACCTTCTTCCGAAGTTCGCTCTTGGTACCATTGGAACTCTAGCACACATAACATTGTATTGATACTTTTAAAATAAGAATGCATTTCCACTGCACTGAAAATCATCAGGATCTACACAGGTCAATTGACCTGGTATTCTTATTTTTAAAGGTTGAAACTAAATAACTGAAAGCTGTTCAATCCATTAACAGACTTTTTTGTGTATGAAATGCAACAAAACACCACATTCAGAGAACATTGTAATAGTCTGAAAACAGCAATGCATTCTGTAGATGAGGTCATTTCAGCTGTGTCAAATAAAAGCTTGTCGAAGGTGGTGCCTTATGCTAATAAATTTTATTGTAATTCAGCTAGAGACCAAAGGAATTTTTTTACCGAAGACTGTTTGACATATTTAATACGTACGCAAACAATTTTGTTCCATTGTACCTGTAGTTGGCAAACCATTTAACATTTACGTAAACTTGAAAGTAACTGCGTAAAATTATAGCGTGAGGAAGTACATAATTTAGAAATCTCTGGTTTTACTAGAAACGAACGAAGTGACGAAACGCACTCAGCAACCTCGTGGACATTCGTGCAGTAGGCAATTAGCCACACCTGTTGTGTGAGGGCTGGTGATGCTAGCTGGCTGCGCAAACTTCGATAGGTGGGGTGGGATTCGAGCCTGTGGACCATTGGCTGATAGCAATCTCCCTGAACCACTAGAAAACCAGAAACAACAGATAAGTGGATTCTAAACTATCCACACTACATCTGGAACCTATTTCTAGGGACCTCAATCACTAAAACACCTGGAAACGTTTTTAGATTCCCAGTCACATATTAAATTTCTGTTCAGGAAAGGCTAACATACCTCTTGAATGCAGCATATAAAGAAATACTTCTGAAACGTTTATTCCGGTGTTGAACAGTCTTAGAAAATTAACGCAATGAACTTTTGTGGTGACCAGGGGTTGGAGTTACGATTGTGACTTGAAAGCCTGAAGGGTTTCACATCTTATCAAACAGTACACACAACAGAGGAGTGGTATTAAATCACATTCGGAGGTACTGTCTTTATAAACATATCATTCTACTTATATGATACTAGCAATCTGCCAAAATGGTTACTTTTATTCATTAACATAGGTGTAGAGCTTAGGCACTGTGGGAGATTGCAATCTTATACTAGTACTACTTACTGGTTAGTAATACCGATCCACATATCTAATAAACAGACTAAAATGAAACTGCTACTTTTTGGCTTCACTAAGTGAAATGAATTACAACTGAAGCATACCGTACTTAAAATCGTATTCATGAAATACTCTTTTGAAATACATTAAATGTATTTGTAACTCTTCATTAGCAACCAAGAAGATTGTTGATAACATTTTAGATTTCGAAGCTACGGCAACGGAAATTCCCTTGTTTTGCTCTTCAGTGTCGTTATCTGAGATTAGAATAATGCGGATAGTGCGGAAATAAGGATGAAATTGTGCATAAATAAAGCTACATTTACGCACGCACGCTTAAATTATTCTGCAAAAGCGTAAACTATGCGGATAGTCCGTAAAATTCCGCTTAGTTGTCGCATTTCAGCCTTATTGCAGCATTCCTGTTTGACTGGGTATACTGAGTACAATCATGCTGGATTTTAGGAATTTTAACCGCAGAAATGGCACCTACATGTAATTGCCAGTGGAATTTAGCGAGTAAAATGCTCTTTGTAAGCGCTTTAAAAAGACTAACCTATAGATAAACTAGTGGTTGAATTATTAGAACTAGAGTACTAATTCTAACTGTCTAACAGTCGTAGAGATACAAATGTAGAAAAGGGGTGGTGGAAACACAAGAAGCAGTGTTTAGTTTGAGTCAGCGTACAAAATACTTCAATTAGCACATGCTTTTGGACCACATAAACAAACATATATGATAGTGGTTTTGTTATTTACCCTGCAATACCATGGTATGTACTACTAAATCAGTTTTAATGTTGAATCAAAGGAAGAAGTGATAGAGATAACCAGGAGACAACTGAACATACGAAACTACAACTTACGCCACAAATCAAACTATCCGGAATCAAACTAACTCCTCTCAACTCAAGGTCGTAAATCTGAAGAAGTTAAAGTCTAGGCCCAGTGTTCAAACCTCAATAATTTTATGCTTTAGTTATGTAAAACGTAAGTACTGTATGTTGAAAGCTGCAAATTACTTATTGTTGATCGCTTCTTGGCAATCAAAAAGTTCGAGAGGAACCATGTCGTGGGAGCAGATTCAGATTTGTTGGTTGATGATAGGAGTCTGGGAGCCTATATTAATCCTTTTAGAGTAGGTTTATGTGCTTATCCAATTCTCTTTTGAACGAGTCAGTTGCTGATGTGGACGCCACTTCTCCTGGGGGTCGGTTTCAGATGGGGGTGGTTACTCGACGCAAGAACCAGTACTCTTCGGAGATTATGTTCGTTCTCTGCTTTTGTAGTCTCCTATTATATCCTCTGAGGTGTTCCAACCTAGTGGGAAGGAAAAGAGAAGATAGATAAGGTCTTAAGTCATTTCTTAGAATCCTGTATAGCATGATTACGTCTCCCCTCTGTCTGCGACGGAACAAAGGGAAGAGGTTCAGCTCCTTAAATCAGTCTTCACAGGTGAGGCCAGTCATTGCAGGGATCATACGAGTGGCTGCCCTCCGAACTCTTTCAAGGAGGTCTGCGTCACCTTTCAGACAAGGATTAGCCGCCCGTTTGCAGTTTTTTAATTTAGACCCAGCTAAGGACGTGTATAAGATGGTGAATATGTCATCACTTATTTTCGTAAACGTTCTACGCAATGCCCAGGGAGTCCTAAATCTCCGAGCTGCTACCAATGGACACTGAGCAGTGGATTTCAAGTCATAAATTACTGTGACTCCTAGGTCACTGTGGGTTTGCACTGACGGTAAAGGAGTCTCATCAATATGGTAGGTGTTGCTGTACATGTGCTCCAAGTGCATGC